TGGGCTTGGGGCGCCAGCGCGCAGTGGCCGCCCGAAGGCCGGGGTCGCCACTTGGCTAGGGGCGGCTGCGGGCCCGCCCCTCCCCCACTCCATTTTACGGAGGTCCCCAGAGGGGTGTGCGCGTCGCCAGGAATGGCCAGCATGGTGCACGAGTCCCTAAAGGGACTCTGGAGGCCCAGTTCCCGTCCCTCTTGCAGAAAGGGAAAGCGAGGTTCTAAGAGGGGCAGTAAGTTGACTAAAGCCGCCGCATGGACCCTCAGAATGGGAAGGGCATTTACTCCGGGGCCTCCAGGCTCTGCTTCTGAAAGGAAGAGGAGGTTCGTTCCGCATTCGTCCATTCGTCACCCATGAACCATTACTAAGTGTCTGCTGTGTACCAGGCGCTCAGAGAGGGTAAGCGGTCGCCTGCGGCTGCACAGCCTAAGGGACCTTGCTGAACGCTGCCCTCGCTTTCCGGGGGAAGCCTTTGATAAGAGATTTAGACGCTCGGACAGCTGGGACCGAACACTCCTGTCCCGCAGTGACAGCAGGGCGCCGCGTGCTGACTTCGCACGGGCCTTGGAAGCAGAGCTGGGGTTTGAACTGCGCTTTGTAGTCTTGCAGGTGTTTTTTTGTTTGTTTTCTCGTTGTTGTTGTTTTTCTTCCCCCCTGAAAGTGAGAGAGCGTCAGGGGAAGCGAACGCCAAAGCTTAGTCCTCTGAGTCTGTCCCTTGAGCTAGGAGACCTCGGATCAAGGGAGAAGATGGGTGGATGTGGGAGTAGCTTCGAGAGGGTCTCCAAGTGGGTGACAGTCAGGGCCTGGGGCCTGGCAAAGGAAAGATGGAGCGTCCTAGGCGAGGGCCGCCGAGTGGCCGTACCTGAGTGCTGCACGGTACGAAGCCCCAGTGGGCACTGGTGTCCGGTCAGCACCTTGGCCTGCCCTCCAGAAGTTCCCAGGCTAGAGTGGGCAACAGTTCTCTGTGAGAACTAGCTCAGTCAATGCCTGTAGGTAATGTTCAGTAAATGCCTGTGGTTTAGTTTTATTATTATCATTTTTATTATCTCCCGTATGTGCTAAGGCGCTCTGGTGGCGCGGTGCCTACGGCATTGGGCTGCTAACCAGAGGGTCGGCGGTTCAAACCCACCAGCTGCTTCCGTAGAGATGTACAGCCTTGGAAACCCACTGGGGGTCGCTATGAGTGCCTGACAGTGGGTTACATGCTAAAAGAGGCGTAAAGTGAGCCCGGAGGAGGCAGAGCTGGATCTAGACGGGAATCTGGGAGGACTTCCTGCAAGAGGGGGTCTGGGCCGGCCCGCGGTTGCGGGCGCAGTAGTGGGTCTCCTCCAGCCCCCGACCGCCTGCCGCTCTACCGCGGCGCGTTCTCCCGCTGCAGCTCGGGAGCTCTCCGCGGTGCTGAATGTGGCTCGTGGAGAGGTCTACCCGCGGTAGTGTGTGTGACGAGGGGGCCGTGCTGAGGGAAATGGGGAGAGCGCCCCCTGCTTTCTCTATCTCCCGGTGCCCTGGCGGCCCGACCTCGCTTGGGCTCCTGGCCCCGGAGCCCCAGCAGGAGGCTTCAGGGCCGTGGGCTGCGATGCTGGGCTAGCGTCAGAGAACCCGGGTTTCCAGCCTGGGCGCGTCGCCCTCCGCAGCCTCAGCATCTGCCTGTGTGAAACGGGGGCGGCGGCCTTCCCCAAGCTCTCTCAAAGCGGCCTGGAGTGTCAGGTCCGCAAGAGCACTTCGTGCAGGATGCGCGGCCCCTAGACAGCGCTGCCCCGGGCTCGGCCTGGGCTGCCCCGCAGTCGCTCCCGGGCTCGGGTCGTTCCTCGTCCCTCCTCCTTCCTCGCGGCCAGGCAGCCCCCTCCCCCTTCTTCGCGGCTGCAGGGAACCGGACAAAAGGCGGCGCCTCGGGCGCGCCGGGAGCTCTGGAAGCTTTCGAGGTTCGGGACTGCGGAGCCGAGGGACTCCCGAGCTCCAGGGCGAAGCGTGTTGCCTTCGCGGACCGAGCGGCCGCGCTGCTCGGGTTCCAGCGGCTCGGGTTCGGGGCGGGCCTCGCGGCCCCAGCTTTGCTGCAGCGCAGGGGCCCTTCCCCCGCCCACTGGCTCTGCCCTGGGGAGGGAGGCGGGGTTTCTGCGGCGCCTGCGCAGCGTTTTCCCGGGCCCAGGGCTGAGCGGCTGCGGCGCTTTTGTAGCCTGGAAATGCGCTTGGGAGCAGCGGCTTGTTTGCCCAGTCGCGGGCCAGAGCCCCTCCCCCACTCTCGCACATCTGTCCCCAAACCTGGGGCTTCGGGCCGGGATCCCCAGACTGACCCCAGGGGAGGCCCTGGTGCGGGGAATCGGAGAACGCTGAGGAAGGGGGCGTAGATGTCCTGGGAGGAGGCGGTCCCTACCCGCGATTTCCGCTCTTCAGCGAGCGGCAGAGCCCAGGCCAGAGCCTGGCTGGAGGACTCTCTGAAGGAGACAGCGGCTGCGGTGCAGGCGCGCTTGACAGGTGGTGCGAGCCGCGTGCTGCCTGGCTCTGCCGGGGGCCACACGCTGCGTCCGAGTGCGCGTCTTACCTCCTCCGAGGTCCTTCCCACCCATCTGTAAACCGGAGAACACGGGACCGCGGCTGCTTGATCTCCGTGAAGCCGCAGCCCCACCCCCATTTCTAGGCCCAGGCACCTCTGGTCTGTCCTGCGTGGGACTGGCCTTGATGGGGGTGGACAAAAGGGCTCCAGGTGAATGAAGGCTTTGCCTGGCCCTCCCTCGGGGTGGCATCTTGACAGTAGAGCAGAGCGTCTACTCTCAGCTTCAGGCTCCACTTTGCAGAGAGTGAGGGGCAGGGCAGGTTGCACCTGCCCTGCTCTGTGGGGGCTATACTGAGGACCTTCCCTTCTCTCCCTCTCCCCTCCTAGGAGCTCTGGTGGTGGAGTGGCATTTGACTGCTAACCAGAAGGCTGGCGGTTCCACCCACCAGCCACTCTTGGGAAGGAAGGTTGGGCAACCTACTTCCGTAGTGATGCCGCCTCTGAAACCTAAGGAGGCGTTGCCATGAGTCGGATGCGACTCCACGGCAGTGGGTTTGGATTTTTTGATTTTGGTATGAGGTTCATCAAGCTCTGCCCTGGCCTCCTGCCCACCTCTCCCCGCCGCCAACAGCTGGATGGAGGGCCCGGGCTGGTGTCCCTGCTGCACTGGGCAGCCGCGGCTTGCTGGGTGGTTCTGATCCTGGTTCGGGGTTTTTGGGGGGGGTGTCTTACTGCGAATGACCTGGCCCTTGGGCACTCACTATCAGGTCAGCAGGTCTCCCGGTGACCAGTGAATCCAGTGCCACTGCAGGGAATGGAGAGGTCAGCCACTAATTGGGGTTTGTGCTCTTGGTCACCGCGGTCCCCCTGCCTGGCACGGAAGGGAGGGCGGCCTCAGTGATGGGGTGCGCGGGGAAGGGGCCAGTGGGAGGCTTTTTGGACGGGCCCTGGGGGGAAGGAACCTTTGTGAAGAAAGGCTTGAGGATGGGATGGGCTGGGTCTCTTCCGGCAGTGGCTAGGGGGTGGACCCGGGCCCACGGGCCTTTAGGGTCGCTCCTAACAGCTCGGGAGGTCCCGCGGGGACGCACTGTCTCCCCAGGCGGCACGTTGGGAGAGGGCGCCCACGTGCGGTGCCGCACACCTGTGGCGCGGGCTCTGGGTCGGCCTGAGCATCCAAGGGCCATCTCTTGCTTCTCCAAGCACCCTGGAAACCCAGCCTTCCAACGGCGGGAGCCGGCCGGGAGCCCAGGCCGGGGCGCGCACGGGGCGGGGCCCGGTTGCCTGGGCGGGCAGAGGCCGAGGGGCGGAGTGGGGTATCTGCTGGGAAGCGCTTCCTGGTTCGAGCCGAGAGGGCCGCGGCGGGCGGGCTTCGCGCCGCCGGGAGGAGCTCTCTGCCTGCAGCCCCCTCCCCCTCGCTCCCCGCCCCCCTCCTCTCCGGAGCCGGGCGGCGCTG